AGGAAAGAGGGGGCTGCTGCGATGCACAGTTGATTTTTTTTTTTCCTTGCTTTGCTATATAAACCAACCTACCATAGTAAATAACTGCTAGACAGTTTGAAAATAAATTATTATAAAAGTCCAAACAACAAAAACGAATCACAAAACCAAAACGCCAAATATCAGGGGGAATTAGTCTTCAGAACAGATTTTAACCCAGTTACACCAGGCTTTTTTAGGATTCACAAGTCAGGTATTGAAGCCAGGAGGGCCTGACTTGGCCATCATAGTAACTTGTTAATACAGTCAAGTCCAACAGAAGCAGGGGATACCCTTTATCTTCTCCTTTCCCAGCATTTTAACAGAAATTAGATCCTCTTCTGACATTTGCCTTTGCTGCTCCCCTCGTGCAAACTCAGCAAGACACAAAATTTGTGTGTTAACTGGAACTAAATCTCACAAAGAATGAAGAAAGAAAAAAAATAATATATGTCAGCCCTTGAAAAAAGGACTTTTTGAAGGCACAAGGTAGCCAACTAGAAGGTCAGACCCCTACCAGATCAGCACTCATTCATTCTGTGGTGATGGACATACAAAAGGCCCTCACACTGTTGCAGCAGCAAAGCTTTAAAGACTTTGGTAGGAAACAGTGGAGTGGGAACTGCATAGTGCCACGGTGAGGAAGAGAACAACACAGCACAAAGCAGGAACAGCACAGGTTTTTTATTCTCAGGATAATACTATCAAGAATATTTACGTGGGATATGTTGGAAAATGAACAGTGATACTTTATAAAAGACCTTGTAGCTCTGGTCGAGCATGGAAGTGGAATATAGCAGAAAGCTGCAGTGCGTCTGCCTGGGAGCTCAGGGATAACACACAAAATCCTCACCATCAGTTGCTGCACCACCAAAGGAATGTGGGAGGAACTGGTAATACATTTAACTGCTACCAAAATATTTATACACATATATATATTCCTACATATGTCTCTGCACAGAAGCTTGTTACATATGTCCCTGTCACATTATGTCACCACTGCATGTCAGACAAAATGACAAGGAAGGATTTGAGCAAGTTTGAAAGTTCTGTCAGGGATGAGGATAATGAGGGATGCCCTCAGTGGTGTTCTGAGGGAAAAGAAAGGAAATAGCAATATCTCAAGAAAAAAAAAGAAAAAAAACCCAACTAATAAATATCAGCACTTGCCCTTCACAATGTTGTTTCAGAAAGTGTCAAAAATCCAAACCCCAAGGAAATCACCTGCTACAGGAATTACATTTTAGAGCAGAAAATTATTTCCAGCTAGGATGTTTCCTAGGGCTGACTTGTAGGAAAAACACTCCAAGGCTGCACAGTTCCACTCCGTTGGGGCCTGGCACAGAATTCTGCTAGGGGTGGCCATAGAGAAGTGTAGGAATTCTCTGAGAAGAGCATTTTGGTCATTCCCAAACACCTTTTGGCAGCTCCTGTGTTCTGATAGCTAACACACAAATGTTTGGTTTGCTTGGCTGTTTTTTTCTGTGATATTCATTAATCACACCCAGTTATGTGAGGCCTCCCCTGGCATTTCCACCCTCCCAGGTATACCAGGCATAGATGGGGCAAGAACTCAGAGTGACAGATAATGCCCCAGCCCCTAAAGACACACACACACATACACACACACACACACACACACACACACACACACTGGGTAGAGCTGCTCCATGAATTAGCACTGAACCTCAGATCTGTCAAACTCAATGAATGCTGATTGATATAACCTGTTAAATATGGATTTTTTCAGGAAAATAAAGGAAAATTATAACACTGCCCAAACTAGAGCAATGGTTGATGTGGACTGGGGGCGTTAGCTTCCCCTGTCCCCTCACACCCAAGGCCAGCCTCTTACAAAGCCTTTCATCTACATTTTATGGTTTTGGCCACAGGAGTTTAAAAAATCCAGTAAACCCAACTGTGCCATCTCATTCCATCAAAATTCACTCCCACAGCAACCAGTTGAAAGGCTGGTTGATGCTTACAGGAGAGTCCTACACATCAGAGCACACCAAGCCTGCTTAGATATGCCTGCTGTCCAAAAGGCTTGTCTGCATATCTCCTGATTAACTCCAAGTCCAGTGCAGGTCAACAGCAGATGAAAGGCAGGCACTTAGCAAGCACCAAACTGCTGCAAACTGCACTTCCCAGCTTCTTACCCAGCCCTGTACTTGCAGCTGCCTTACTCCAAAAGCCTCCTTACTTGCATCCCAGAAATCTGGATGTCAGCAGGTCAACAGTGTTATCTCCAGCTGGGAACTGCACATGTTGAACATCCTACATCTTTCTTCCTTTGACACACAAGATCAGCTAGTTCCACATCATTAAGGCTATAACTTTAAATTTATTATCATTATTATTATTATTACTAAAGAGTGGCTCTTTTAACAGTCCCAGGATTCCTGTTGGTCACCCTGCAGCCACTGAACACACACACACCAGCATCAGCTCCCAACACCGAGCACTGAGCAGACAAGCTGGTAGCGGTGTCACTTCCCTTCCTGGGGGACAGGAATGAAAACCACAGCGTGGAATAGCTTAACCCCAGCCAGTCCAGAGCCAGCATTAACACAAGCCAGCAGAGACATCATGATCACAGCATTGTACAGGGTTTTTGTTTCCCTACTAACAACAGCCGAGTGGAAAATTCCAATAATATTTAAGGATTCTCCTTACCTACATACTCTAACTCTGATATCCTATTAGAAATAGAGGGCACAAAAATCTGTCAAGGAATCCCTTTATGACTTGAAAAAGGTAAGAACTGTAGAAATTTTCAAAGCAAATTCTGTTCCTGCAGAGGCCCACAGTCAGGGACCTCAGTGAGAGCCACGTGCAGGTGCTCCACAGAGTGACGTGTTTCCCTCATTAGGGAGACCACAGTCTCCCACAGGCTTTGGTATCCTCCAGAGTGCATTCCTCTGGAGCATCACCCTCCTGGATGACAGCAGAACACCACACTTTAACCCTTGTAAAGCAAAGATTGGGTCTAAAAGCCTGAAGATTTCTGACCTGCCAAGGCAGTTTGTACATGATGTTGAGCTACTGAGTGACACGGGTGCCAGAAAGCCAGCTCACTCCCAGCCCTGCAACTCCACCACAAAGAATAAACCATAGACACAGAGGCAGCAAGTGCTTCTGGCAGGGCATGGGAGGTTTGCTGTGAAAGCACAAAAAGGTATATTGATCTTCTACAACAGTGTTATTTAGAGGGTGCTTGGGAGATCTAAGGTCCATAGGAAAGCGGTAAGTTGTAATTAGCTGGATAACAAAAAGCAGGATGTAGTAATTAGCTGGATAATGTGCTTATAACACATAGCTTGGGAACAAAAAAGCAAAGGATGAAGTTGTAATTGTCAGAAAATAAGCAGAGAAGAAAAGGTTTTTTAAAATATATTACTGCACTTTGGCTAGATGCCTCAGGAAGTAAAAAGATTCTTAATTCCTAGATTTTGACAGAAGTAAAATTTTGCTGTCTTTAGGGGATTCAGATTTGGATGAACTGGGTTACTAAATGTAATTTCTATTGTATATCACTGCTTTTTTTATCACTATATTTGGATTCTGTGGCGTCTTGAAGGTGAACAGTTTTCTCAATAATCAGCATGCAAAAGGCTTAGACAATGACAAATAAACCTTCAGCTGAGGCTCAGCAGCACAATACCTGTTAGAACACTGACCCAACTCTGATCTCTTTGTCAATCCAAACTTCTCAGATAGTCACCAGGGAACATCTCTCTAGCCCTGTCCCTGCCTCCCACCCCAGAGGATGGGGATGAATGCAGTCCCTGCTGCAGCAGTGCTCTGTCCCCAGCCAATTCTTCCATCAGGAGGATGATGGGAACATGGAAAGCCTGTGAAATTTAAGTCAGTAGTAAAACATCCAGATGAAAAGATTATTCAGCACATTAAAACATAATTATGGCCAGTTAGGAAGTTAAAGCATATGGATGATAATTTTAGATCTCTAGAAGGCAGAACAGTGGGTTTGGCTTTCAGCACAGCACATGGCTGCTGTAAATAAGGAGGACAGTACAGACACCTTTATGGAAGGATAAAGGAACACATTAAGGTGTTTGGCAGGGGCAGCTACTTCCAGTTATTTTGTTAAAACCTGCATTGTTTACGTCACCTATAACTGTAGCTCTTAAGGCTGTTTTCCTCAGCCTTGAGAACAGCAGGAATCAAAGACTTAAAAGAAAACAGAAAGAGCAACAGAAAACAGCCCACTGCCACAGCAGACCGCTCACCACTGCACTGACTCACGCAGAGATTAGATACCAGGAGCAGTCTGCAACCCTAGTCAAGCAGAACACAAAGTCCTGCTGTTCCAGGAAAAAATAAAGCCAAATAAAATAATTGCTTCTCAGGGATGACTCAAGTTCTCCCAACAAGCACCCACCTCACCAACAGTTTGGTCGCTTCTGAAGAAGCCGGTGTGCCATCATGCCCATGACACACCACTATCTCCAAACTGCTCCAGGTGTGCCCAAGGAGACAGCTTCCCACTGTTTTCCCACAAAGTCCCAGCTTCTGCAGCATGCTAAATTTTACTATGTTGCTGCCTTCAAAGCATCTAGTCAAGACAGTCACACTTCTGATACCCTTAGTCACCAATAGATAAAGCTTAAACCCATTGTTTTTAACAGGCAAGCCCCAGATCTAGTTACAAGAATAAGCCTCCAAAGGCAATTAGCCTTATAATTAGAAGCCCATAACTGGGGAGGGGGACACACATGTCACCTCTTCTTCCCTGTCCCAGCTCAAACCCAGGAATGCAGAGGCAGTCAGGGGATCGTGGAAGTTGTGTTCAGTTACTGAAATATCAGCTGCAAGATCTACAGAAGAGCTTAAACACAGACCTCAGACATGCATCTCACAACCCTGCTCCCTCGTAGGGAGATTTGAAACAAAACAAAACAAATGATGAAAGGTTAATTAAGCCACAAAATAAAGAAAACTCCAGTTAGCAGTACAATTACCTCGGAGTGCCCTCCACCAGAGGAAGGTCTGCAAGAAGTGCATGCTCCTTTTCCTCAGTCCCGGAGGAGGTGGCAGCATTAGCAGGACCAGGGCTGCTCCACGGCTCGCTCACAACCACTCCGGCATCCCCAGCCTCCTGCAGCCCCAGCACCACCTCGGACCAGCCTGCGCAAAGTGCACCTGCTCTGCTCTGCTAACCACTGAGGGGGAGTCTGGGGCTTCTCTCTCTCATGCTCTCTCCCTCTCCAAATAAGCAATTAGCATGAATAATTACAGCTCTGATAATAATACCCAGCCACCTTTGAGCAAGAGGGAAAAGACTGTAATTAACTCTTTCTCAGGGATCAGAGGAAGTTGAAATAGCACGAGCCTAATTATCTTCTTCTGGGATGCCTCCTGGCTACTGAGAAGCTCTGGAATGTGTGGGAGGCAGGGGTCAAGCAGTATCCTTTTGGAAATCTCTCCACCCAACCCAGTTTTACGTGTCTGCTACCCAAGTGATCATTAGATGTGCAAATGTACACAAGGAGGAAGAGAACCCACAGTTTCCCTACACTGTGCTAATCAGCAAGGGGCTGTCCATTCAGAGACTGCCTGTAGCATTATCCCATGATGGATCTTTGGCCACTGAGGACTTTGGAGCAGTTCCCCTCTTGGAGGATATGTAGTGGTAACGTGTGGCTTGTCCTAAGCACAAAGCAGAGCCACACCAGCTCTCAGGAGACCTGACCCCAGGCTGGAGTGGGCACCAATGGCCAGACAGGCTCCCACTATAAACTCAGCACAAAGGCACTCCCACCCCAGAGTTTTCCTCCTGCCCCATCCCCAGGTCACAAAGCTAGGGGGAAAACACATAAATGAGCCAGGTAAGGGCTCCAGATCAGCTCAGGAGGGAAACTGAGCATGTTTAAAATGTCTTTGCATCAAACTGGCTTCACTCCCTTCCCAAAGCCTCTCCTGGCAGGCATGTGGGACAGGCACATGTGCATGTCCCGTTCCCAGTTCCTTCCAAGAAGCAAAACACACTACATGCACCACCCCTCAAAAGAGTTCTAGTGAGTTCAGAGACTAAAACAATAAATGGTGACCCTCTGCAGTAACTGCCCCAAATTGCCCAAGGCTCTGAAAGGATACATGGGTTAGATGGCTGCTGTAACATACCCTCTTCATGTTACTAAAAACTGTGATAAATCGAGTTATTATACAATCCTGTCATGCTTTATTGCTACTGCAGTATCTGGAGATGTTATTAGAGCACTGCAGTACAGCAGCTGCCCTCCAAACACTCCACTCTCTTATGAAAAGAGCACAGGTTTTGTTAACATCTCTTGTATTCCATTGACCTGAAATATTTAAGAGTGGAAAAATTAACATGTTTATGAACCCTTATCACTAGCCTTAGAAAACCTGCTGAAATGTTTATGTCTCTAAGCATTTAAGCATTAATTTTCATATTATAAAGATTCCACGTAATTCTTTTATTTATGAAGTCAAGGTGCCCAGGGCACTGCAGAATATAATCAAGCACATTAAAAAACAAAATAATATAAATAAAATAATTTCAGTTATTTAATGATTTTGTGAGACTTTAAAAAGATGTTGTATATAATATATATTTTAACTTTCTTTACGTTGTCTACTCTTTTACTACACAGCTACCATCTATTTTGCTAATGTCTTGAAAAGAAAGTAAACATATTCATATTAACTGGCTGAATCCCACAAGTTATTATGTGTATTATTTTCCCTGTAGCATGAATAGTTCCATAAGCACTAAGTAGACTAAGCAGTGGAATCAATTGAAGCCTATACATTAAGACCCAGACCCTGAAATGGTAATTATTAATAAATAACATGATCAGTATGGCTCAATGGCTATGATACTGGGATCTTAAAATTCTATTTTGTTGAGAAAAAAACTGTATCTGGTGTACCCACACTTACAGTGTGACCCAACGTAATTTCAAGGGATGGTTGTTTGAAAAAGAAATGCACATTTAAGGCTTGAATTTTAATTTTACTATGACCTAATTGCCAGGGCAGCCAGTCCAGCCTCTGCTCTGGATTTTTTCCAGTTTATGTGTTGCCCTCAGAATCTCTGACCCAGCAGGCTCTTAATGTGCTATTAATGGACACTGGAGGTGGAGGCACATACAATAATTCTCTCATGGGAAATGTCTTTCTGTGAGCTGGATGTGCCCCAGGGACAGGGAGGGCCTCGGTGACAGTGACACTGCACAACACAACAGTGACAGTCCCCATCATGCTGTGGGGGGAGCCAGGGCTCACAGGGATCCACTGCTGCAGGGCCTCTCACCCTGGGGAGGTGTTTGAGGTCTTGGATCTGTGTGTGAAAGTGTTATGGTGAGGGCAGAGGGAAGGAGCATCCACACTTCTGCACAGGAGCCCCAAAGAGGGATTTGCACAAGTCTACAGCAAAGCACAGCCTTGGGAGGTCAAGTGAAGTATCCCCAATGGATCTGCCAGGGATGACCAATTCCAAAATTATAACCCATGGGGAAACTGCAGCGCAGACATTTGGAGACAGTAAATTGGTCTGCAGACAGGAGGCTCAGCTTTAAAAACAGACAGGGGGACATGAGAGGACTGGGGCTGTTCAGAGGTCTGGGGCTTTGTGGCTCCATCATCTGGCTCCAAGTCTTAAAGATGCTCTTTGATTCACAACTTTTGGTTATTACTGATGTCCCTAAACAGGAGTGAGTGATGCAGCCTGTTGTAGTCTGCACTACACTCTCATGTACCAGCTGCCTTCAGGTGCTACATTGCTAAAATTTCCAGTGCTTTCAATTAACACATAGCAAAGCTGTTAGTCATGTTGTCTTTCCAACAAATAATTGCTCTCCCTGGCTTCCTTCCACATCATTGTGAGCTTCCATTTAATTTATGGGCCCTAATAAAACATAAAGAAACCAAGACTAATGCTTCATCAGTTTCCTAAGCTTCTCCAACATCTTTGATGGGGAGGGGAGCTGGCACTTCACTGTTTTATGGCTCTGAGGGAAGAGCAGCTCATCTAGCAGCAGACAGGGAGTTTGCAGCAGGGCAGAGGAGAGACTCACACCCTCTGAGCTACATCTGGCACATCTGCAGGGTGGGGACATGATCCAGCCCCTGCTGCACTGCGATGCGCCTGCCTGCCCCTCGGCTGAGCCTCCCACGCATCCCATGGCTGTGCAAAGCACTTGCCACAGAGGCACGAGATGAAAGGAAGAGGATGCAAACATCAGAGGAAGGGGAGAGACTGTGTCATAAAGAAAAACACAGCTAATTCCTTGGTAATTATTCAGACCCCAGGCTTCGCCTTATCCAGCAGTTTCACACAGGAAGCACAGCCAAGGACAGCTGGGGAAGGAAGAAGGTGCTTTCCAGTGCTGGGGGTTCCTGCCAGCCCTGCCTCAGCCACCAGTTGCATGTGGTCCATGGCCTCGATGAACAGAGAACAGGTTCAGGTGTTGCAAGCTCTCAGCTCAAAACACAACCCAGTAGCCACAGCACCCACTGGGGCCAAATTCACCCTATGCCTGTCCAAACACATCCAGTGAGACCAGCACACTCTGGGTCACCCACACCTGCCCCACAATGGGCACAAGCCCCTGCCACGTGCAGAGACCTGACAAACTTCTTTGCACAAATGATCAGAGACAGCAAATCAAGGCAACGAGCAACACCCCCAAAAACAAAAGACTGAAGAAGCAACGCTTGGGTGATTACAAAAACTTGAACTGAAAGCTGTTCAAAAGGCATCCAAAAGAGAAAGGGAAGAGGGCTGCCAAGCCTGACTTCCCAAATAAAGTCTCCCTGCTGACAAGTTCGTCTCCAGTTTGCAATTCTTGTGTCTGGCTGTACACGGAGTCGATGCCAGCGCTGTCTGATGTCCCCACTCACACAAGTAGCTGCTGGAGTGAGAGGCTATGCTTGGAGGGACAGAGAACTCAGGGGAAGCTGACTTGGGCAGTGCAGGAGCTGGGACTGATGGGCATCCACAGGCTGAGCCCCGGTCATCTCCCAGCAGTGCCACAGGGCAAGCAGCAGCTATGGACCTGCTGGGCTCTTTAAGTGCTGCAGCCTGGACAGCCTTGCTCTGAGCTTCAAGGTGGTGTGAAAGGCTTGAAGGGAAAAGCAAAGAACTGTGACTCTCAGCAGAAATGGGGGTTGTGCTATTATACCCCACTACCAAGGGAGAAGACTAAATAATTAATCACAAAAGCAGCTGAGTGTTAACGAGCCGCACAGGATCAAACCGCATGGAAGATGCAAAGGCCCCCCAACCCTCTTCAGTGTGCTGACAAGCCTAATTTTCATAACTTGACTACCAAAGCTGAGAGAATATGCCACAAATGAACAAATGTATCCCAAAATCCCCCTTGGGCTTCTGCTGGGGGCCATCTTGACACTTTTGCCACCAAAGGAGCCAGTTTGGAGAATGTTTTGCATTCTCAGAGAGAAAAGTGTCCCAGGCTTTGGGTGGTCATTGCAGAGGCCTTCTGCATGTGTCACCCCACTCTTTCTGTAGCTTTAAGGAAAGGGGGAGATATGCATTTCAAATAGGAAAAGCAGACATATAATGCTGCTTCAGTGCCATTCCTAAATAGCAGAGTCTGACTGTGCAGAACTGAACAGCAGCGCCCAGGAGCTGTCAGGGATAACTGGAGATGGGAAGGGAAATACATGGACATGGCTGTCTTGGATGTTCTGTGTAATCAGCCATACTGAGGACAGATCATGGAATCATTCAAATTGTGTATTACAGGGTATCCCCGTGCAGACTACAGGGCTATCATATACTACTAATACTAGGACACAGCTAGTAAAACACAATTTAGACAGTACCAGCATTAAATGACCTTCCTTCCCAGCACACCACACCAGACCCAGCACACATCTCTGTTACTGAAGCTTGTGATGGAGATCTTAAGTACTAACATTTGCATCTGTCCCTTGCATCAGGCTTTCTCCATCCTACAGTGAGAAAGGATTGTGCCAAGTAGGGTGAAGACCACGTGGATTCCATTGTGCCCACAGCTACTGCAAAATAAACTCTAAATAATTATATATTCTGTTTATTCTATTTATACATATCTATATATCTATATATTCTATTTATACAGCACCATGGCTTCCAAAAGGGCTTTGAGAAGTTAAACTGATACATAGGCAACAGGGCTCTTCAATCCATCACTCAGGTGCTACAATCTGACAGGAAATAAGGATCCTGCTTAATGGCCCAGAAGGAACATGTAGAACTTAGGGGTATTCACGCACTCAGTGCAGCACACATGCACACACCACCTTCAGGGGTCCTCTACAGAAGCTTGCTTGGCTCTAGTACCTTTATCCTGTAAAGTCTGAGTAGGCTGATTCCTAGGCAGCTGAGCATGGGAAGATGATTCAAGACAGTGAGATGGGCTTTTCTACAGCTTCTGTGTGATTGCAGAGCACCAGCCTCATGAAAAGACCCATGTGCTGATGTCAGAATGATGCTTCTGAGAATTCCTTGTAATAAATCACAAAGCCTTCTCTCCTCCATCATAATATAA